TTTACATATGTAAATGCATGTGTACAAATTTCCTTTTACATAAATATGTGTGTGCATTTATTTTCATATCCATATGCATGTTACAGTTATATAAATATATCCAATATACAAAAATATGTACATATATTTCTATATATTCATATATGAGAACATATGCAACCGAAGGTAAACATTTCGGTAAATATATGTCTACGTGTGTGACATGGATGTCATCCTGCTTTACGTGACATGTGTGTAACGTAGACTGTGTGTGTGGCAGCCTGAGGGATGGATGGGAGGGATTTGATTTCTTTTCATGGTACAACCACTTTGTGCCTTGTGATGTTTATCTCACCCAGCTCAGAGGCAGGCGATTAACAGCTCAGAGGAAGGTAAAATAACGCACTGTGTGAACCAAGCATACAGGACAATTTCAGTTTGGGACCTTGGAACCTTCTACTCCACCCTCTTCCATCAGGCCCCCAAGAAGTAGGGCTGTGACACGTGGCCAAGTCACTCCTCAGCTGAATATTCGCTCAAGTCACTCCTCAGCCGAAACATTCCTCAGAGCTGCTGCACGATGAGTCTGGGGCCAAGGCTTTCTGGCCTTCCCAGGATTCCAGGAGCCCCCATGCACAGCACCTCGGGCTTGCCCAAATGATTCCCGAAATCAAGGGCAGAACATTTTTGGAAGAGGCCACGGTCTACTTTCCCAGAGCTATCGGGCCTGCAAACCAGAGAGAAAAAAGTCAAGCGGGAGCTGGTAATAAAACTATTATCCATGTGTATTATTTTTTCGGTGGGGGAGCTAAAATAATACCAGGTTCCGCTCACGTAAATCGGATTAGCAACCCACAGAGGCGAATCAGGCCCTTGCTGTTTCTAAAGGTATGAAGGTCAAATAAGGTATTTTGGAGGAAGCCTGACTACCAGGAAAATAAAACGGGGTGGGGGGAATTATTCAGGAACATGCTACTTTATTTCCTGACCAAAAAAAAAAAAAAAAAAAGTGCTATAGAAGTTGATTGTCACTCAGAGTCACTGGACCGCAAACAACTCGGCGATGAAACGTATTCTACTCCTAGACACAGGCTTCTGAAACTATTTCCTTTCCTATCAAGTTTAATTAAGAAGTTAACAGTCGTTTCTGTCATTACTTAGATTGCAAAAACAAAACAAAACTTCAGTGAGATTTAAGTAGCCTTTAAAGATGAAGAAAAGTTGGTAACTATTGGATGCACCCGAAGAAAAAATAAAAAATAAAAATCTCCTGGGATGACATCAAGGATGTCTTGCAGCTTTAGAACTTCATAACTTGCTAAGTGGAAGCCTTGTCAGTTTAGAATCTGAGGGAGAATGGGCACTTCTGAACACTGTTTCATGTTAGTGTTGCCCATTACAGAATCTCTTTTATGTAGGGTGTGTGATTTCTGAGGAATACTTACTGAATGCTTGTCCCAAGCACAACTTACATAAATTTTGGCCCTATTTTTTTTTTTTTTTTTTTTTTTTTTTTTTAGAGATGGCTGCCCTCTTGTGGTGGAAATGAGTTTGAACGCTGGAAAGAAAGAAGTCCATGAATAAATAAATAGTCTCCAAACACTGATTAGGGATCGAAGTACAGGATGACTGTACCTACCCATTTTCCAGGGAAGAGCAATAGTCAGAAATGACAAATCTAAATAGAGACGAAGTATTTTTTTTTTCCTCTCTTCACTAATGGCTACCTTCCACCTGTGATTCAGAATGCTGGGTTATTTAATACTTTGGGAGAGTGTCTGTTTGCCTTGAAAATATCACTTGCTACTAACCATTGTCAATTCTACCTTCTTCAAAGGTTCATTCAAAGTTTTTCAGTTCAGAGGGTGAAATTCATTCTTGCTGAATTTATCAGATTTGGTGCATCTGCCAGCAAATGTGGAAGCGGCAGAGGTGGGAGTGGGGAGTTGTTTAAGAAAGGACTAGTAGAAGTTGCAAATTCAAGTGCATCAGAGGGTACAGACAAGTTATGTAACAAAGCAAAGATGACCAGATAATGATTCCACATAAAGGAGGTTGTTGCTATTCCATTTCAGTCATTTCTTGCCAGTTTCTCAAGAGATAGTGGGAATTTCCATTTGATTGTGTGTGGATGAAATTAAGTGCTTACAGTCATACTTCAGCAACTTTTACTTTAGCACTTCAGCTCACATGATATTCCATTTTATTGCATTCTGTAGTTATTAGCATTCAGCATTGTTCTTTCTAGGCAAAATATTATCCATATTAACCTTAAAATAGTGATCCTCACATACTGTAAAGTTCACAGCAGGCATTACATGATCCGTCTACCTTATAATTGTCATTCCATGGAAACCTGTGGCAACTGCCCTGAGAAACCCTCTTTGCTTTTTAGCATACGTATCGCTTTGTTACAAGTGTGACACCTATAACCAGCCCTACTTACTTTACTTGGATGAAGTTTTTTTTACAGGAACTTGGAGCCAAGGCAAATCAAATGTTTTCCTTTTTGGTGTTTGATTAGACGTGGTAGAAAGGATGGGAGAAGTGAAGTGATTTATATCAGAAACTAGGCCAAGTTGGCCAAATCTGGATCATTGCTTTCAGCAAGTACCAACTACATCTTCTTAAAAATTAAGAAGAATGAATTTTGTGCATTGACTGTCACACAGTTTAAGATGTACACCTTATGTCTGGAAGCTGTGTTGATCACAGTCCAAGATGTAGTTTGGTGACCTTGGTTCTAATTCCTTCTTCTGTCATGGATGAGTGACTTTAAAATGGTCATCTCTTCTGTTAATTGGGGTAAATAAATATATGTTCGCTTGCTTCAGACTGACATGATGAAGGTCAAATGGATAACATGTGTGAACTTAGAGAGTTTCTGATTGCTACTCACTCTATGTATCTTCAAATGTATTCTTTGGCCTTCTGTTTGCAATATGGCCTGGTTTTAAGAGATAGGACTTTGGATGACTTTCTTCTCTTTCTCTTTCTCCTCCTTCTCCTTCTCCTTCTCTTCACCCAGCTTTTATTAGATTGCCAAACAGTGGATATTTCATCAGAAAGGTCACCACTTGGGTCAGTCAGTCTAAAGCAGAGGTCCCCAACAATTTTGGCACCAGGGACCAGTTTTGTGAAGGAAAATTTTTCTACAGACCAGGTTGAGGGGGATGGTTTCAGGATGAAACTGTTCCACGTCAGATCATCAGGCATTAGATTCTCATAAAGAGCATGCAACCTAGATCCCTCACGTGCGCGGTTCACAATAGGGTTTGAGCTCCTATGAGAATCTAATGCCGCTGCTGATCTGACAGGAGGCGGGGCTCAGGCAGTAATGCTCCCTCGCCTGACCCTGGGGGTTTCTAACAGGCCATGGACCAGTACCATTCATGGCGTGGGGGTTGGGGACCTCTGATCTAAGGCAGTAACAAATTCTCATAGCCTCAGCTCCCTCGTGAATACTCTGTAGAGACTAACAGTTGACTTCTCATGGAGGTTGTGAAGAATAAATGAGAAGATATGTGTAAAGACAACAAAAAGTTGCAAATTTGTATCACTATATACATACAAATTAAGGCCATTGGTTCTGGGTCTTGAAAGATGAGTTTGTCTTATGTGATTTTCTTTTGCCCTTGGTAGATTTCAAAAATATGGGTTGAATGAACATATGCTCCTGGAAAATAATTATAGTCTTCAAAATAAGACTCCCATGAGAAGCCTGTTGGCTTTTTAGCATGAGTACCACTTTGTTACTAGTGCAACACCCAACACCAGTTCTGATTGCTTTACTTCCATGAAGTTTTTTCATGGGCACTGGGAGTCACAGCAAAAGAGCAGCATTTAGTCATTCAAACGTTTACCTATTTTGCATTTGATTAGACATAATAGGAAGGATGAATGGAGTGGGGTAATTTATATGCAAAGCCAAAGCCAGGCCAAATTGGCCAAGTACGATTGTTTTAAATATCCACTACATACTATTTAATTATCGTATACCAATACATTTGCATACCATGTCAATGATATTAAAATGTTTTGACTTTCTGTTTATTAGACTGTGAAGAGTCAACTATAGTATTTCCTTTTACATACCCAGTCTACAAATATTTATTGAGCAGCAACAAAGTCCATGGCACTATGTTATTAGGTTCCAGTTAATACAAAGATACATAATCTCTGCACATAATTTATTTAGAATTCAATGGAAGAAATGCAACATGTTTACAAGTAAATAAATATAAAATACATGGCATATGAGATAAGAACTTTAAGAGAGTTGAGAAGCAAGTTTCTCAACAGGTTTAATGATAAGCAACTGACTTCTGAAATGTGGAACAAAAACCTTGCTTAGTGAATGTCACTACCCTTATTTTACAAGTGAAGAAACTGTGCTTAGAATGGCCATTTTTCCAAAGTCACATGGCTAGCAAATGGCATAGCTTACACTAGACTCATGTTTTGGGAGTTTTGGGCTTTTCCCCCCACGATGCTTATGATCTCTCAATTCTATACAGTGATAACAACTCAAAGCCAAGACGTCATGTGAAAAAAATGTAGGATGTTGTTTTGAGGAATACAAAGAGGTGGTTCAAGTTTGGAGGTGGGGTTGGATAGGGATAAGGCTATACTAGAAATTTTTAAGACTATTCTTTAGACTGAGCCCCAGTAGGGAAATGATGACATATTCTAAAGGGGCAGTTGACAAGAGCTGAACAAAGGAACATTATACAAAACCATGGGCAGAATTGAGAGAAAGTGGCAAGGGATCATGAAGTATCGTGGCCCTACATTGGGTAGCCAAACCAGGAACACAGAAGGGCCAGTTGCTAGAGCCCAGAGAAAGCCACAGCTGAAGGCAAGCCATTGACAGAAGCCGGGGAACTGGCAGGGCAAATAAATATGTCAACCTTTCTTTTCTTTTACTCTCTGAACATCTGTGGACAACTCTCATTGGCCTAATTTGACCAGAAGAGCAAGTGTATTAGTTACCTATTGCTGTGCAATAAATGACCATACACTTTGTGGCTTGATGCCCGTTTTATTATCTTGGAGTTTTTGTGGGTCAGGAATGCAGAAAGAACTTAGTTCTCTTCTCAGGGTCTTGTAAGGCTGTATTCAGTTTTGACAGGGGCTGCAGTTTCATATAAGCCTCAGGGTTCTCTTCCATGCTCCGGTGGTTGTTGGTAGAATTCACTTCCTTGCAGCTGTGGAACTCATTCTTGGTTGCTTTTTTCATCAAAGCCAGCAGGAGACTGTCTTTCTGACTACTAGACCCTGTTTTAAAAGAATCACATAATTATATTAAGCCTACCCAGGATAACCTGTCTTTTGATTAACTCAAAGTCAACTGATTAGGAATCTTAATTACATCTGCAAAAATCCCTTCACTGTTACCTTATAACATAACCCAATAAGAGGTGTAACATCTCATAATAGTCATAGATACTTCTCATACTCAAGAGGAGGGGAGTATTCAGAGCTTGCACACCAAATATTCAGACTCTCTGTCTCTGCAGCCTATAGAGGTCGGCCTCTCAGCCACGGAGGAAGGAAAAGAGTAGATCTGCTCATGTTGTGGATCTCCAGGTAGAAAAAGAATATCCAACCTAGAAAGATTTGAAAAGTGATGGACTACAGGATCTTAGGACTCTTGGCTTCTACTCCAAAGTGAAATGTTTTTACAGAGGAATGGCAGGTTGGAGATGCAAGTTACAAAAACAAATCTCATATTTGGTAGAGCATAATAGCGCAGTATAGAAAGTATAGTGAGAGACTGTAGGTAATAGAACCAGTTCCTAGCTTTTGTAACTATGCACAGAAGTGGTATCAGGGGTCATTGGAGCCCAGGTGAAAAAAATCAAAAACAAAAACTAGTGGGACCCTTAACATGGGGGACTATGAGCAAAAGCCTGATGAGAGACTCGGGGATGATTCTTTCTAGAAGTACCTAGAAAATTCTGGTTAAATATCCTCATGGAGTTCTTCTGGAGTGATAATTAGGCACTGGCCTGGAGTTCACGGGGAGGATTAGGGAATTGAGTTGTAGATTTCTGAGCTAAGGCTTAACCATTTGAGGAGGAAAAAAATGCCAAGGAAGTGCATAGAAGATGTCACAGAAAAAGTGTTCAGAAAAATAAAAAGCAGACAATGGTGATTTGTCTTAGAATTCATAAGAGAGGAGTTTTCAGAAGAAGAAGCCGGTCTGCAGTCTTAAATAATGGTGAGGAGTGTGGAACAAATAGATGAAGAGTTTGCAGATCCTTGGTGAGGTTTTTAGATTGTAGATATAGAAGAATAATGAAGTGGAGGGAGGCTAGTGGGGTTGATGTGGGAGTAGAAGGAAAGAAAGCTGAGTTAGAGTGGGGTGTAGCTTTGGAGGATATGTGATTTGGCTATTTAAAAAAATTCAAATAATGAGGAAGCTAGGGTCAAAAGAGAGACTTTAAAAAATTGAATGCAAACATGACCGACACTTGTAGGAACGGGGTGACTTAGAAGAACTCAACTTTTCACCTGAACAATAAATTTGATCAACTCCTCACTATATGGCCCTTTGGGCTCATCTGGCAAATGTTCTCAATTTCTTCAATATGATAGCCAGGAGTTTTCATCCTCAAATGGATCTTTGAAATCAGCCCTTGTGGTAGAAGCCCAGTTATTGCCTAGAAGATGTTTGCTCAAATGTGGAAATGCCTGAGACTTTTCCTCTTTATTAACTTATTCTCAAGATAACCTTCTTCCCAGCAAATCACCTGAGTCTCCCAACCTTTCTGTTTCCTGGTTTCTTGCCCTGCATCCTGGGACAGAGCTAGCTATGCAGAGGTGATTCTTTGCCAATGAGGTGGACCTAAGGTCTTATCTGTAACAATTTGCTAGGAGGTTCCTCTTCATCTGAACTTAACAGTGATCTGTTGGAAGCTCATCACTTCCAACCCGGAACACAGCTTCTTCAGAGTTCACTCTGAAAGAGGACAGGAGTAGAAACCTAAGCACTGCAAAGACAAAGAATTTCTATGGAGATGACAGATTGGAAAATTCTTTTCTCTTCCAATCCAGGACACCAATTATTGTATATGTGTAGGACTTTGAATGGAAAGCTAATAGAAAATAACATGAATGGGCAAGTGCATTTCTAGTGACGTAAAAATAGGAAAATAAGATCTTGTTTCTGTCTGAGCTGATCTTCAGGAAACCCCCCAATGTTGCTCCTCCATATCCAGGTATCTTCATCTCATTTATCTCCCAAGGGAAACTTCTAATACAGCAAAATCAGGCTCTTCTGTCTCCAGCATGTGATGTTCATATTCACCCTGGTGACTTCCACTCATGTCCTTTATTACCCTTGGGGCCACTGCCATTTTCCATAGCGGTCCCAATCCTATTGTTTCTTTCCATTTTGCTTTGTGAAGGAAGCGACCCAATAATCTGTCATACAAACAGATAGGTTTTTTTGAGAGTGAAATGTGAAGATATGAATACACTGGAATAATAGGGGTCAACAAGAACTGTCCCAGGCACACAGGACCTGTGGTCACTCCATAAAGCCCTCCCTGACATTGCCAGATCTCAGCTCTTTCTCTTCTCTGAAACCCCATTCCAGACTTCATCTACGCAACTTTTAACACTATTTCTTGTCTACCTCAGAGTGGTCTTGAGCTTCCTTTCCCTGGCCACATTTATTTGTAATTGTCTTAATTCCTTAAACTTTCTTTGTATGAATTGGTAGTACCTATCAGAGTGATAAATCTCAGTAAACTTTTATAAATGCTTTTAAGTTTGATTTAACTTACTGGGTACATTGAAATATTTTATCTTTTTTATTTTCAAAAACATTATTCAAATAAATAATTAAGAGTTACTAGGGGGCTAAGTACATATAAAATAGTTAGGTCCTTTCCTTGATTGTAAGCTGCTTGAGGTCAGAAATGTTTATTTAAAAAGTAAAAATAATTGTTGGTTTAATTCAAAGTGCCCTCAAGTTTTTAAAAGATTTTAAGTGCCGGATTCAGAAAAGATCTGATTGTATCACAGAAAAAAATAACCAGTTGACAAATGAAACTTTGGTTATTGACACAACTGTTGGAGTTACTTCTTCTTTATGAGTGATTTCTCCAGACATATATTTATCTCCAATAAGTAAGTAATACATTCAAGAGCAGAGGAGGTGATGCAAGTCATAAAAGAAAGTAAAAAGAAGGCATTATCAGTAGGTAGAAAGTATCTCCAAATAGTTCATTAAATAGTTGAAGTTATCTAGAGAACTTCAACAAAATCAACAAAGAGTTTATATATTGGCTTTGCTTGAGAATTTCTGTATGGTCATTGCTTCTTTACAAGACAAAATCTTCCAGGAGAATATTTTATATCTATTTGTAAGTTCTAATTAATATATTTTAATTTAAAAGAATAATATATTTGTAAGTTCTAATTAATACCTAGGCATTCATCATCTACTGATTTGCATATTTCTACACCTTTCACAGCTTGTTGGGCCACAACAAAGCCTAGCAGCCTGGCATAGTTATCTCTGAGCTGTTAGTCATGTGCGTCTCTCCATAGGGCGCAATTGTAAATTGTAAATTATTTTCATCTTGGTTACCTGTTAATTCAGGTGAGATAATTTGGCAAAGGCAAAAAGGGTTTGAGGGTAATGACTTTAGAATTATGATTACAACATACTCAAATTGGACAATAGCAACCCAAGAGAATCAATTTGACAGTGTTTTTTAGTGGATATTCTCACCTGGACATATTTCACTAATTGTCTTAATGGGAAACAAAAGGTTCTGCTCCTTTCCCTAATTAATATTGAACTGAGCAAATAGTCTGAGATATATGTGAGCTGAGAGATTATGAGAAATATCATATTTTATCCTCTTATATTTACAATAACCACTCAATAGCACCGAAGACCAGATGTAGCTGCCATGTCAAGGTCTACCACAGCACCCTCAGCCCTGACCACCCCAGAGCATACCTGATTGCCAACTAAGGGCTTTTCCCACTTGGTGCAGCTTATTCTGCCCACGTGCCCCTGGCCGGATGCCCTAGGGAATTAATATCTCCTAGGGGCTACCCTCAATCAGTGACCAATGGGAGTTAGCATATAAATACCCATTTGCCTCTAGGAGGGGTAATTCTGAGGTGCATGATCCGAACTGACTCTATTTTAGTCAGCCACAGTGATAACTGGCTTAAGAATGCATCCTTCATAGGCTGCCTTCCCTTCCCTATCTCACCTTCCCATTCCCCTAATTGTGTTTTCTTCACCTCCCTCTAACTTACTTGTACTTGAACTCTTGTCATCCAGTAAGCTTCTGGAGGAGCCCAAAATGAATACCGGAGTTTCTGTTGAACTGAGATTGTGCCTATCAAAATGGCTTTGAATTTAAATTGAATGGCACTTTGCCACAAATGAAATAAAACTGTTGGCTTTGGAGACCTATTTCCTGCTGCACTTGCTTCATTTACTCATTCAATGACTTTTACTTTTCCAAGCACTGCTAAGTTTCTGGAGCTACAAAGATGAATAGGGTGATGTATACAAATCAACCAAACAGAAGTTTATACAAGGTACAGAAATTGAACCAAGAATAGAGTTACCACCTGCAGCCGAAGGTCAGAAAAGGTTTCCTGGGAGGACATAGCACTTGAGTTGGATCATGAAAACTGAGCAGGTGTTGGGCAGATAGACAAGGTGGGGGAGGGAATTCCAGGCAGGAGGAACAGCAGGGGTAAAGGCAGAAGGGCATGAAACATCAAGATGCATTAAAGAAATGATCAGCAGCTTAGTATGACTGCACAGAAGAGGAGAAAGGGGTGCCAACATTTTGCTGGGCAAAGGAATTTGGACTTTTCCCCCTAGGCTTTACTTTGCTTTTGAGAAAAATCTCTTTGGTAGAAGTGGGCATGATGGCTTGGAATACAGCCAGATTACAGGCAGAAGGATAAATTAAAAGGCTGTTATAATTGTTTAAGCAAGAGATAGAGAGTCCTTGCACTCAGCAGAAGCGTGGGGTGAAGGAGAACGCTGTAAGAGATTGAAATGGTAAGATGTGGTGGAACTTAATGGTCTACAAGGAGTGAAAAATGAGTTGAAATGATAGCATAGAAAATACAGAAGCAGGAATATGCTCTACTTATAAATGCAAAGAGATTGAGAAAATTCTTGGAAAAAAAACAAAAACAAAAAACGAACTCATTTAGGTTCCAGAATCCAAATTGTCAATTCCCACAATTGTCAATTACTATTATATCCTGAAAATTAGTCTCTT